GAACACGCCTGGGGATGGCAGCCCCTGCCAGTGCACCATTGCTCTTACAGGGCAGAAACTGCTCCAATTTCGGTTCCATCCCTCATTACCAGGTGGTCGTGCACAACCCATCCTGCTATGGGAGCCCTTTTTTCTTAGAAAGCTTCAGGAAAGGCCCTGGTAGAAGCCCTGAGCCCTGCCAGGCCCAGCGGGTGAATTGTTTGCTGCAAATTATTTGCTCAGCTTTAATTATCGAGTTTTGGCACCCATTAGTTAAACCGGTTAATTTTATTACAGAGAAAACAACAAATCACAAGGCTGACAATAATGAGGATGAACAGGCATTTAATTATCCCCGTTCTAGACAGAACAATTATTAATTTTAAATTGCAGAAACTCATTTGAAAAGTTTGGAGTCTGGAGAACTGTCAGGAGTGCAAAACACTGCTGCAGGAGGTGATGGTCAGATGGGTCCCAAGTCCCAGCAAATCAGGCAGAGCAATTCCTGCACCGGTCCCTTTCTCCCCGTTGTAGAACACAAAGAGAAAACCAATAAACCCCATGGGAGAAGCACGGAGTGACGTTCCTGTGTGCAGTGTTGCACAGGGGTGTGCAAGGAGTGCTGTGCCATGTGCAGCATCCCATAGGGACGTGCAGGGAGCAGTGTGTCCCCATGTGTCCCTTGCTGTATGCAGGGTCCCTCTGGGCTGCCCGACCCCTTCCCCTCTGCCCCAACCCCACACACTGCAGGCTCTCAGCTCCTCCCTGCCTGCCCAAGCTGCGGCCAGAGGGAAGAAACAGCAACAAAAGGAAGAAGTTGGGAAGGAGCAGCTTGAGCTCGAAGAAACAAATGAAATCTCATCATTTATCCCCAGTGGTCAGTGGCACAGATAACATTTTTCAAAGTGTAATTGCAGTCAATTGTACTTTCCCCCCAGTGCCCGTCAGCTCATCTTAGCTGGCGTGATAAATGTTGGCTTTTAAGCAAGAATGGATTGATTATTAATAGCTTAGATACCAGTTACAGGAACTGCAATAAAACTAGATTTTAATTTCCCTCTCTATTAAGGAATCTCATGTTTCATTCAACATAGAGAGAAAATAGGGTGGTTTTTCTGCAAAGGTATTAGATATGCTGCTGGGATGAAGGCCCATTGAGGCACCCAAGCGTGGTCTCTATCAGACTGGGTTTGGGCAGCACTGGGTTGCTGGATGTGTGGCCCCCAAAGCACTGCTACCCCAAAGCTGCCTGAAATCCCTGCACAGCACCATTCATGGGGCAGGGAGGTTGGGCTGTGATCTGTGTCTAAACCAGGGGAAAAAGCACAAAAGCCGCCTTGACTGAAGAACGGAGCTGTGCATTTTAATCTCTTATAACTTTTATGATGTAATTCTGAATTATGTTATTGCATTTGTATTTAGAGAGCACGCCAGATGGCGCATGCAGTAACACTTTAAATTAGGGTTTCCCAAATACACATTAAATTTAGATTTAATAAGACAGTTATCGCACGGGAATTAAATACCAATTGATTATTTGTAAAATAACCCAGCGCGGCGACGTGCAGCTCGGCCATGCTGGTGCTCAGCAGCTGCCATGAGGATGGGGAACCTTTGCCCCCTGGCTGGGCTCAGTCCCATCCAGCCACGTCCCCACCTGTGCACCTCTGGGGACAGAAGGATGTGACACAGCCCACAGCTGGAGCTGCCTGCATGTCGTGCAAACCCAGCGTCACAGACAGCACCTCCAGCTCCGTGCTGCCGCAGATCCGTGTTACTGTTACTCTCCAGCACCACAACACGCTGCTCGTATCGTCGGGGATAATTTACCTTTCTAATCAAATCGATTTCCATTCAAATGAATTCTCTTGTCCATCTCCTTTCCAGTAATGTTATTTTAAGCGTGAGCTGTGTCTTGGTACGAACGCATAATCAGGTGGTGGGATGCAGAGGGCACCACGGTGCTTTATGGCGAATCAAATAGAAGGGAAATTATAGAAGCTCTTAAGCACCGTAATTTATGTCCTGTAACTTCAGCCGGGGCCAATGTGTGAAATTACAGCCCCTCTGGGTTTCTCTCCCCTCCTACTCCGTGTCTCAGCGCTCCTTCCCTATTGGCAACTTCTGCCATTATGGGGACAGCTCAGCCCACAGCCCCACTGCAGCCCAAAGCGAGATGGGGGGCAGCGGCCACTCGTTAATTGCCCCACAGCAGCCAGCAACTTCATTACCTGACCCTCCTACTGCCCATCTCTGCCCCAATCCTGGTGCAGCCCAGCACTGCCCATCCATGGCACCCGCAAAGCCCAGGCATCACCGTGGTGGCATCACTGTGTGCTCCAGAGCCACCCAGCAGGGTCAGCACAGAGGCAGTGCAGCCGAGGGCCTGGCAGGCGAAGGGAGGCAGCTCTGTGAGCAGCTGAATGATGCAGCTCCCACCCTTCACCCTTTATTTGTATTTTCTGTCCTGCACGATATATATCAGCCGCCGTCGGTGCTGGAGTGCTGCTCCACAGTCTATTATAAAATGGCTCGGTGCAAAAGATGCATATAAATAAGAGAAGCTGTGAAGTGTTCCTCAGCCACCGGTGCAGGGAGCGCTCATGGCCGTGATTTATGGCCGCTGCTCGCTGCTCCTCTCCGACATAAATCTCACCCTTCATTCACACTCGGGGCTGCAGAGAGGCAGTGGGGCACCCCCAGCCCCAGCACCGCACACCCCCAGTGCCCTCAGCTCAGGGATGGGGTCACGTCCAGCATTTCCCAGTGGTTTCACAGCTGGGCAGGGCGGGAGGGAAACCTCTGCATCCCCAAAAGCAGGCAGGTGTTCCCAGGGCCGGCTCAGCCCGCTGTGCTTCTGCTCGGGGCAGGTGCTGCTGTCAGGTTTGGGTGGAACTTACATTGTGCTGCAATGCTGATAAATCAGGACTTCTCCTCTGCCAGGTTTATTGCTGCGGGGCTGCGCTCTGCTGGGTGCAGCTCTGCCTCGCTCCTTCTGCGGTGCCAAGGGCTGCAATGGTAACAGCCAACCGTGTTTGCAGTGACCGATGCCATTGGCAACAGTCAATGCCATTTGCAATGACCCAACGCTGTTTGCAACGACCAGCGCCGTTTGCAGTGATCAGTGTTGCTTGCACTGACCAATCACACTTGTGATGACTGACACTGCTTGCAGTAGCCAACGCCACTTGCAATGATCAGTGCCATTGGCACCATCCAGTAACGTTAGCAACGAGCAGCGCTGTTGGCAATGGTCAGTGATGCTTGCGGTGACCAATGCAGCCGATGCGGCGCTGCAAAAGACGAGCACTTATCTGCAAAGGGCCCCGAGGCAGCCAAAGCCTGCAGTCCAGCAGGGACCTCGGCCGTGGAGCGGCTCCCTGTGGGTTTGCTCCGTGCAGGCAGAAATCAGGGCAGGGGCAGGGAAGCGGCTGCAGCCCCGCCTGCAGGCTGTGGGCCTCCGTGTGCCGAAAGGAGCGCGGCAGCACCGGGCACGGCGAGCTGCTCCCCTTCCCAGCACGTTTCTCTCTGCACATTCCTGCAGCAGCGCCGTTTGCTCGGTTAAATAACTCATTTATCTTTCCGTGCTCTCCGCACATCATAATACAGCCGCTCTGACAATGCTGCACACCAAAGGCCTAATTTTAGCAATGGTGTTTATAAGGAATCAGTTTGAAATATTGGAGCGGTCGGATGATGGTTGGCTGTTGGGGCTTTTGCTGAAATACTGACGTTTGCAAGAAAAGCCGCTCGTAAGGAAAATTCTGATGATAACAACTCATTTAGAATAAATCAGTTGGGAATGGTTCGTGTAATGCTGTGCTGAGTGCTGTGCTGCCCTCCCCGTGGGTTCTGTGCAGATGTGTGGTCAGTGGGGTTGGGGAAAATAAGGGGGAAACGGGGAGAAGAAAAGGGGAAAAAAAGGGAGGGGGGGAAGGGGAAAAAAGAGGGGAAATAAAGGGGATAAATGGGGGGAAAAGGGGAAAAAAAAGGAGAAAAGGGAAAAGGGGGGAAGAAGGGAAAAGGTTGGAAAAGGGTGAAAAATGAAAAAAAAAGGGAAATAAAGAGGAAAAATGGGAAAAGGGGAAAAAAAGGGGGGGGGGATAAAGAGGAAAGTAAGGAAAAAAAGGGAAAAGAAGGGAAAAATAGAAAGGAGAACAGGAAAAAAAGGAAAAAAGGGGGGGGGGAAGGAGGGGAAATGGAAATATGGAGAATAATGGGGAAAAGGTTGAAAAAGGGGAAAAGAGAAAAAGGGAAATAAAGAGGAAAAAGGAGAAAAAGGAGGAACAAATGGGGGAAAGGGGAAAAGGGGAAAGAAGGGGAGAAAGAGGGAAAAAAAGGGGAAGGGGGGATAAAAGGGAAAGAAAAAAGGAAGAGAAAAGGGGAACAAAGGGAAAAGAAGAAAAAAAGGAAAAAGGGGGGAAAAGGGCAAAAGGGGAAAAAAGGTGAAAAAAAGGGGGAAAAGAGAAAAAAAGAGGAAAATATGGGGGAAAAAAGCAAAAAGGAGGAAAAAGCCAAAGAAGGGGGGAAAAGGGGGGAAAGGAGGAGAGGAGAGGAGAGGAGAGGAGAGGAGAGGAGAGGAGAGGAGAGGAGAGGAGAGGAGAGGAGAGGAGAGGAGAGGAGAGGAGAGGAGAGGAGAGGAGAGGAGAGGAGAGGAGAGGAGAGGAGAGGAGAGGAGAGGAGAGGAGAGGAGAGGAGAGGAGAGGAGAGGAGAGGAGAGGAGAGGAGAGGAGAGGAGAGGAGAGGAGAGGAGAGGAGAGGAGAGGAGAGGAGAGGAGAGGAGAGGAGAGGAGAGGAGAGGAGAGGAGAGGAGAGGAGAGGAGAGGAGAGGAGAGGAGAGGAGAGGAGAGGAGAGGAGAGGAGAGGAGAGGAGAGGAGAGGAGAGGAGAGGAGAGGAGAGGAGAGGAGAGGAGAGGAGAGGAGAGGAGAGGAGAGAGGAGCCCCGCCGCGGCCTCGAGGTCGGTTCTCTTCCCCCCAGCAGCAGCGCTCAGCCTCGGCTGTGGCACAGACGCACGCAGGGCTGCAATCATCATCTCCTTTATTATTCTGTAAATGTGAACTTTACAAAGCCTGGTACAATGAATGGTCGCACCGTCCGCGTCTTCCTTTCTCAGAAATGGATTTTCCGTCATCTGAAAACAGCTGTGAGCACAGTTCCAACGGGGGGAAGGGGAGGGAGGGGGGTGTCCTTAACCTTTTATTTCTCATTTTAGTTACTTCTATATGGCGTCAGCCGTGGCTACAAAATAACAGTCATAACTACACAAAGAGCACATAAATACCAGTGAATAATGCGCGATCAAAGGAGAAATTAAAAAAAGAAAAAAAAACAACAACATAAAACCAACCAAAACAAAAGGAAGCGAGCATCGTCCGTGGCTGAGAGACAGAGCTCAGCGGTGCTGCGGGGCGCTCCGACAGCACCGCGATAACAGTCGTGGAGTCACAGTACTGCGCGCAGCGCCGGGCCGCTGCCGAACGAACGGCGGCGCCGCTCAGCCCTTCGCTTTGCCTTCCCCCAAAGCGCCCGAAGGTCAACGCCGCAGCGCCCCGACCCCAAGGGCGGCTCGGAGCTTCGCCCTGCGGCGTCCTTTCGCCATCCGCTCCGTTCGTTTCTTTCGTTTCGTCTTTGTTCGTTTATTTATTCTCCTGTCTGCTAAAAATAGTATTGCGAGTTTTGGCTTTTTTTTTTTTTTTTTTTTTCCCTCTTCTTTTAATATATATATATATATATTTTATTCTTTATTATTTTTTTATTATTATTACTTTTTTTTTTTTTTTTTTTTTTTTTTTTTTTTTTTTTTTTTTTTAAACTTCGACATAAAAACCCAACCGTCGTTGTGCAAAACGCTTCTATAACAGTGGAAGAAACTCATGGCGGCGCCCACCGGGTGCACAGAGCTCCCACAGCCCCGCCTTTGGGGCAGCCCCGAGGCCTGGGCCGACAACAACGTGACACATCTGTACAGCAGGGACACTTGGAAACAGCAGTTGGAGCCCCAGGCGGCCGCGAGCTCCCCGCCTTCAGGATTTACAGCCGGCGGAGGCTCTCGGTTGCTTAATGGGCCGTACACCCTTCTCCGCTCACAGCGAGTTATTTCTGTAAATACAAGCAATCCCAACAAAAGCTTAGCAGGAAAACGACAAGGAAAGGCATCGATCCCTGCTCCGGCGGCTCCGTGTGGCCACCAGCCCCACGTGAAACCTCCCAGCAGGGTGGGAATGGCACCGCACCGCTGCTGGGACACGGCGGGGAGGAGGAGGGTCCTGCAGCCCTGTGCTGCCTGGAGCTGAGAAACGGGGCTGTGGGGATGTGGAGAAAGGGTGATGTGGTGCCACAGGGATGTGAGGGCACAGGGATGGGTGGGCATGGGGGTGTGGGGGCTGCACGGAGCACGCGCTCTGATTTCTTTAAAGGTGCTTGGTATAACTTCAGATATATAATATACATGTAATATTGCTAATAGTCAAGCATAGGAATAAAGGTGCAGACATACCATAAATACTGATGCTCTGATTTTACACTATCAGACCTAGATGAATGCAGTTTCCTATTCACATTATAAAGCAGCCCCAAATTCTATAATTTAAAATAGTGTCGTAAACAAAGAGGAGGAAGGAGTTGGTTATGATCTGATTCTCTCCATCTGTTTTCCTTGGGAAAAAAAAAAAAAAAAAAGAAAACAAAGAAAAAAACAAAAGAAAAGAAACAAAAAGGATCAAAAAATTCTAAGGCACTCAGGAAAGCCGCATACAATCGATGGACTGCTCTGTTCTCGCGTTACATTCAGTGTTTCAAAGGGGTAACTTGGTTGTGTTTGTCGGAAGAATACAATCATTATCCACATAACATTGTCAAACATATCATTAATCCTCCACACACAGGAAACATTAGTGCAAAATGCTTGCCCTCATCTACCAGATAAGGAGAAACCCAACGCCCTTCACATTTTAGAAGTTTGCCTTCCTAGTAATAAGAAGAAAACGAACCCAAATGAAAGAAGAAGAAAAAACAACAACAAAAAGGAAAAGAAAAAAAAAAAAGGAAAAAACAATAAAAGGAAAGAAAGAACCCCAAAAATATACAGGAAGTTGTGCTAGGTATAAAAATATATATTTTCACTGTGCAACTCGACTCTCTTCAGATTCTCTGCCCTAAGCCATTCAAGTACTGCTGCTGCTGTCCCTGGGCTGTCTGGGAGCGCTTTGCTCGGGGCCCCTCGAGCCAGCAGGGAGCCACGCAGCCCCATCCAAAGGGGTGAGGAGGAGGAGGCCCCACAGCGCTCCCCACAGGCGCAGAGCAGCCCTCACAGGGCAGCCAGCATTGCAGGGGGCACCTTGGAGGGCAGCGGGGGAACCCTGGGCTGCGGGACCCTCAGCTCCATGGGAAGGCTGGGAGGGGAAGCCCGAAACAGCTGTGCTGGGGCAGCACCACGCGTCGGGAGGAGCGGGTGATGGTGGATGTGGGTAAAGTGCAAATGGGGCCGGGGCAGTGGCAGTCCTGTGCCCCGTGTCACAGCCACTGCTGCTGGGGTTGGAGCAGGGGCTGCCCCACGTGCTGTCCAGGGTCGGGGGGCAGGGAGGAGCCCGGCATTTCTTGGTCTCAGGGCAAAGAACAGCAGAACGGGCCAAGCGCCGGACAGCTTCGTATCACGGTGCCAAAAAACAGCTTCAAGTATAGAAGAAAACAGAAGGGTCAGCCTCTCGCCCCTCCACTTCCCGAATTTCAACACAGAGACGGAAGGAAACCCTGAGCAAAGCGCTGCCTGGATCCAGGAACTAAAGTAGGAAAGAAAGAAAGAGCTCCAGGAGCCCAAAGCGACCGCTTGTGGTGCACTCGTCCAGAGCCCCGGACCCGTTGCAGAACACACCCTAAGTACCCTAACGCAGGCCCTTCCGTCACAGTAAAAATCAAGAATAAAAGCAAAAGCAGCCATCCTCAGCAATGCCAGGGCTGCCCCGTGCCCAGCACCGCTGTGCAGCACCACGCACCTCCATCCATGCCAGCACTGAGCCGACCGCGTCCTGCTGAGCCGAACCCCCGCAGCTCCATCGCCGTGCCCCGGGGACAGCAGCCTGGGATGGGCGGCAGGCAGTTGGGTGTGAGGGCTTCTTCCCAGCAGGACGAGCCAAAGGCCAAAAAGGGGTACAAAGCTCTTCAATAAAAAAAAAAAGAACAAAAAAGAAAACAGCCTTTGCGCCCCCAATCCATTTCGGACATAGGAGCGGGCGCAGGGGCGAGGAGAACCCAGCGCAGCGGAGCAGCTCAGAGCAGGAGGGGGAGAGGAACCGAGCAGCACCGAGACGGGCAGCGAGAGGAACAGCCACGTCCTGCATCCTCCTGACCTTCCACCAACAGAAGCACGCAGCAGTTTCCCCCACCCCGTGCAGCCCAGCAGCCCGCGGCCCAGCGCTCCACGACGCACAACTCGCTGCCGAGGACAAGGTGAGCGATGGCTGGACTTCTGAGCTGAGGAATGGATGGGTGGTGATGGGGGGGGGGGGCATCGAGTATTTCTCCTCCCCTTCTTTAAAAAAAAAAAAAAAGGAAAAAAAAAAAGAAAAAAAAAGGAAAAAAAAAAAGAAAAAAAAAGCTACAATCGCATAGACTAACCTCAGGAATATCAAAAAAAGGAGCCCGATAGTTTTCTCTTTTTTTAAGTAGGTCGCCACAGACCTATCGTTTACAGTATAACGAATGCGATTATTTCCTTCATAAATTTTAAATACAAGCAGAATAAAAATCACATTTTTTTCAGGCAACAGTAGCAGTTCAGTAGGTAAGTGGCTTGATCACATTTTTGTTTTGTATTAGTAATGCATGCAAGCAGCTTTAGTATTACAGATCCCTTATAGGTCACAAAACGTTTGCTCTCTCTATAAAGTCCCTCCATAAGTGCCATCCTGTCTTCTCACCGGAGTTTCGGGCCGGCTGGAGGGGCCCGAGCCCTGCTCAAAAGGTTGGGGAGTGCTTTGGGTATCCGATGCCATGGCATCCGTGGCAGCCGCCTCCTGTATGACAGAGCCGGCGCCCTCGGCATCCTCGCTCTGTTCGAAGGACTGGCTGGATCCGTTGCTCAGATCGACGCTCACTGTGTTAGTTCTCAGTGCCACTATAGTTCCTGAATCGCTCCTCCTTTCTGCATAGATTTGCTGCTCAAAGACCTGAGCAGAGCTGGGCTGGAATTCGGGATCCAGAGGGACGCTGTTTGTGGTGGAGCCCATCACGGTGCGGTACATCTCCATCCCCTCGGGCAGCATGGATTTGATCTTCGGGAGCCAACGCTTGCGGACCCGGCGGGCGTTGGTGCACATATCAGCTGCTATGACATTCATCTCGCTTTCCTTAAAGCTCGGGGCAAAATTCTGACAATACACTGCAAAGACAGGGATACACGGCGCTGAGGAGGGAGGGCAGCAGCGCCAGGCCCCAGTGCAGGGCTCACTGCAGCCCAGTGCTTGGATGGGGGTCAGAGCTCCCTGCCACACTGAGAACAGCGCTCCTCAGCCCGAGGGATGGGCAGATGGGGGGCTGGAGGAGGGGGCTGGAGAGGGACCGAGCCCTGGGATAGTGGGTTCCCAACCACCAGCCCCAGCCGCCAGCTGGGAAGGCACCCACCAATGGATCCACCAACAACTCCGATGTTACAGAGCAAAACCCGTGATGAGTAACGACCAACTACAGCTCGTGCACTGGATATTTCCCTGTGAAACGCCTGAAAAATCATCCTGATTTTGGGATGCCCTGATACACAACAGCAAAGCTCAGCTGGGGCACTGCCGGCCTGGCCAGAGCTGTGGGAGCTCCGCACCCAGGCAGCAGACCCTGCAGTGCTTCTGAACATTCGCCGCTCCGTTCCTCTCTGCAGAGCTCAGGGTGACATTTACAGTCAGTAAATACGCCATGCAGACTCCAGTGGGGTGACAGAACCCTTCCTCTCCACCATACACCAAGAGCAGGTGGGATGGGCTGCATGGTGCCAAAGGCAGCTCCCTACGGAGGGGTCAGCAGCCCAATCCCCCGGGCCTTGGCCTCAGACAGCCCAGGGCACGAAAGCCAGGGCAGCCAGACCCAGTCCAGCAGTATCCAGCACTGAGTGCTGCCAAAAGCCATCATTTTGATTTCCTTCTTAGAGCACCCCATAATTAACTGCGAAATCGACGTTTTAAAACACAGCGAAACAGTCAAGTGGCGATGATGCTTCCTATTAAGATGCTGCCAAACAAAAAATTAAATTCAGACCAAAAAACTGACATTACAAAATCAACTTCCCTGTCACCTAATTTCGCCATAACGTCGCCCCCTGTAGCGTAACAGAGACGGCCTTCCCTGCTCAGGTTCTGGCTTTGCCCTCGGCATGCAGTTCCACCCCAGCAGCAGCAAACCCCTCTCCTTACGTTTCACGGCGTTCAGGACTCTGCTGTCCAGAGGTTTCCTGCTGGGGTCGCTCGTGGAGGAGCGGATTCCGGTTCCGCAGCTGTTGGCAAGGGTGTTCCTGCAGGAGAGGCAAAGCAGCACCTTCACACTGGGCACCCGCGGCCCATTGGGGCACCCAGTGCCTTCAGTGCCTGCAGGGAGGGGCACCGAGATCGGAGGTTTTAAGGCAAGCAATTGGAAACTGTTCAAGCATTGCTGGGAAATGGCACAGACGTGTGGCAGACCCAGGGGGTGACACATTCACACATCATCTGCCGGCACACTCACAACTCCAGCAAATACTTTGGGGTCCCTCGGGGAGCAGGACGTACCGATCGAAGAACGTGGCCAGGAGACGCCTCAGGAGGACTTTGTGTTTGACACCAGCACATAAGTGGCAATTCATCAGCTGCCCCCGCGTGATGTAAACACCTGAGCCTGGAAGAGAAGGAGAACCAGGGGTGAGGATGGGCTGCGCTGTGCTGCAGGGCAGGGCGAGAGCCCGGCAATGGGCGGTCTGTGCAGGATGGTCTGCAGGAGCCAAACAAGAGCATTTTATTTTTCCACTCTGCAAAGACACACAGAACACGTGGTACTGTATGTACAACTGGACTGTTTGTTCTCTCTGAAGGAAGAGAAGCCCAAAGTGATTGGCTTTTTCTTTTCTCGAGCGAAAGAGTGGAGAACGTCAGTAAAATGAGAGCAAAATCCCCATCTAGCACAGAAATAAGGACACCCTTTGCTCTCAAGATATACAAACACCTACTGGAGAAACAGAATCCCTCCTAGGTTTGCAGGACAGTGCCCAGAGCCCAGATTTCATGCACAAAAGCAGGTGGAAATGTGTGAGCACTGCTCTGGATGTCACAGCAGCCCCGCACACTGCGTCCGCCCATCGGATTTACTGCCACCGTCGCAAGGCCAGCTTAAGGCTGTGCAGACAGAGCTGCTGAAGTTTGCAGAATCCACGGTGGCAGGAAAGCCTGAGACAAAGGGAAAAGCTCGGGGGGGTTCCCAGAGGCTCGTGCTGAAGGATGCGGGGCAGCAATCAATGGGCTGCAGTGCGATGGCACGGGATGAACCAGCAGAGGGAATGCTGAGTGCTGCCATGGGCAGCTCCGCTCCGGCAGAGGGAAAACAGCCCAGGCAGCTGCTGCTGGGTACAGACATTCATCTCTTTTTCCAGATGGAAAAATGTAAATGAAGCTGAGGTGCCCCCAGCCTGCAGCGTGCACCGTGGAAATAACCCGCACCGCTTCGTGCCTGTAAGAAGTCTCACTCAAAATGTAAATGGGCACAAAATGAATATTCCTGATCCCATGTAAACTACGGCTCCTGTCTGCCAGCACAGATCTGCCCAGTGCTACCAGCCCCCTCTGCAGAGCACAGCCACAATCCTGCTCCGACCCGGAGACAATCAGGCACAGATGAAGGAGCGCAGAGTGGGACTGCCACGTCCCTCAGCAGGGCACTGCATGGGTCACTTCACCTAATGCAGTGAGCTGGTGGGGGGAAGCAGCTCATGCTGTGTCATGGGGCACTGCAGCGTGGAGGAAAGTGCAGCAGCCCACGGCTCGTGGGGCTGGAATCAGGTCTGGGCATTGCAGCCATGCACTGGTCTCTGCAATACAGACCCATGGCAGCAGCCCAAGGGCTCCGTCCTGCACCCAGCAGGGCAATAACCCAGCACTGGGGAGCAGCCAGGTCCCCACTGACTGCACGTTTCCCACCACTCTGAAAATAAGGACGGGGGAAAGGTCCAAGCAAATCCCATCCCTTCTCTTCCTCCCAGCCAGGCAGCTTGAAACACCCCCCATTTTTGGATGGGTTTTTCAAAGCTTGCTCACCGGCACCAATTTCACTTCCGTTGCTTTGTAAATCTTTTAGTCTGATGAATTATTATTATTTTTTTATACTAAAAAAAAATAAAGATCTGCGCATCTAAATCCAAATACAACTGCCATGCAGCCCACACCAATCAGGAAGAACACAAGCTGCAGAATTCAATTAAAATGCTAAATTAATTCAATTGAATAAATCCTGTTAATGACACATTTTTCTATCAGCAAATTAAAGGAAACTCAGAACTTTTTTTTTTTTTTTTTTTTAAAGATGATTGGTGATGAATAATCCAGAAAGACAAAGCAAGGGCACGCACGGCTCCTGCAGCGGCACAAGAGGAAGAACACATTTCAGGCAGGACAGCAGCAGAGGTTTGCAGCAGTTCCCAAGCCAAGAGGTGCTGCCCCTCATTACCTGCCACGAGCTCCAGCTTCTCCCCAGGGTCCCCCTCGGAGTAGAGCTTGGGGTGGCAGCGGTACCCGATCTGGCTGATGAGACTGGCTGGGAGGGCAACCAGATCCCGGCGGATGAGGACACAGGAGCGGTTCTCCAGCGGGATCTGCTCCGGCTTTTCTTGTGCAACTTAAAAATTAAGAGGGAAATAGATTAACGCAGTGACGGGGGAGGTGTGGTGTCACCAGGAGGGTGCATTGCTGCTTCTCCACAAGACCCTGGATGGCAGCAGCGCAGCCCGCAGAGGGGCTTGGTGCCACGGAAGGCTCCTGCACCCAGTGATGCTCTGCCTGCCTCCAGTTGACTCCCTGGTGTGGGCAGGCTGCTTCCCACACCTGCAAATGGGGTGTGCATGTGGAGACGGCTTCCCCACGCATCCATGGGGTGGGTTGGCAACCCAACGGTGGGCTCCAAAACAGGCAACAGATCACCCAAACTCCAAAATACCTCCTTCGGTACCCTAACTGCTTCTCCTGCTGAAATCACATTTCCCCTCTCCGCATACAACAGCCCCATCTGCAGACCCACTCGGAGGGCAGTAGCACACCAAGCAGCCCTGCAGTGCACGGGGCCGACCCGCTGCACCATCCCAGCAACAGCACTTTGGGACCACATTTCTGCTTCCAGGCTTGCACCCTCCTCCATCACGGCAGAGCTGTGCTCAGTGCGCAGGCAGGAACAGAAGGGACTGCCACAATTCTGCTGCACCCCAAAAATAACGGGCAGTGCACAGCTGGCCGAGCACAGCGCAAACACAGCCAAAGCCAACATTCACCCACAGCTTTCCGTGCTCCCACAGCCCTGAAGCAGCAGCTGGCAGCCAGGGCTGTGGCACAGAGCTGGTGCTCACTGTGCTACCTGTGCACGACGGGCTTTGTAGATCCCAGCCACCCCTTAGCAATGCTCTGCACGCGCCGTGCCCCCCTGCAGCAGTGCCTGGTCACGTCTTTGTGCAAGCAGTGCAGCAGCCAGCCCCTGCAGCAGGTGGGACAGACACCCTTCTACCACTGCTCACACACTGATTTCCCATTGATAAACAAATCTGGGGCAATCCACTAATACACTTCGGTCACATCTGTCTTCCTGTCTACCAACTCCTCCTTACACATGGGCACAACTCATTTTTGGGATCAGCCTCGATCCAACACGAGCACAAACTCGGTGCCACCAACAAGCCCTAGGATGCTCAGCACTGCTCCCAGCAGACGGCCGGCACGGCACAGAACAGTTATGTAAAGATGCAGAGCACAAGGGACACTTTGCTCCCATGTTCTCAAAGAAAGCAACTCTGTTTGGCCACTGTGCTTGGAAGAACAGGACAGTATTTGCTGCTAATTAATGTGGATCTTCAGAGGGCAGCAGCTCCTTCCAACGCGAACAATGCCGGGCATTGTTTGGGGCAGCTCTGCCTGGACTGAGCCCACCCCGGCCAGGGGAGCAGGAAGCACTGCAGAGGAAGCAGAGAGAGCTGCACGCCAGGCACGGATTTCATTTTGCATCTGCAACTTGCGAGGATGCAGCAGAGAGCACTGCAGTGGGAAGCGCCCGGGCGCAGAGCTGCAATGGGAAGCCACAAGTCACGAGCCCACGGCTACAAAATCACCTCCATCTGCTCTGTGCCAACGCATGGATCATTTTCACCTTCTCTCCTGAGGAATTCCTCTCCAAACAGCTTTACTCCATTAGCTTACATCCTGCAGGCCACGGTCTCCCCCCTCCGCAGCATCCCCTGGCACAGCACAGCCAGCCCTCAGAGCGGCACAGCCCTGCCTGTGCTGGTTTACATTGCACAAACGGGACATGTATAACAACGTGCTGGAATGCAGAGATTTGATTTGTGACCTATTTATACAGGGAGGTAATCTGGAATTAGTATAGGAAAAATATTACCGCTTTATAAATACCCCTATCTTGCCTCGCTGCAGACCTCAGCCAGGAGTGAAACATCTGCCAGCCTAAAATTAAACATCTGTGCTTCACGGGGGGGAAACCGCCATGAGTTTAATGCCTAAAAAGGGCAGCGGTGCCTGACCCAGGGCAAGGGGTGAATGCACACACAGCTCCTGTGCAAAACCCGGGGGAACCAATGCTGCCCACAGTCCTAAAAGACGTCCCGATCCCTCATGGGTGACATCCTCCTGCCCAGCCCTACTGCTCGCACTGCTCCTGCTGCCTATGGATAGCAGCAGCTCAGGGCTGCTCACTGCAGATCCTGGGCTGCTCCGTGCCCTCCTTCCTCACTGTCAGGAATCAGAGGCCAGGAGAGAGAAAACTATTCTCTCAGCTAATTACCACAACTCTTCCATAATGGCTATTTTAGATGAATTTTTAATGACAGGCGCTCCTGTCAGTGCGGGATTTCATAACTTCCAAGTCTTTTGCCATCCTGGAGCTCTGCTGCATCCAGATCTCCCCCCTCTGCCTAAAAAACAAAAAAAAGCAGTGACAGGCAGAGGGGTCGGAGCCTCACCTCACACAACCCCGCTGCTTCCCATCAGCATCAGCGTGCTGCAGGTGCAAGCAGTGAGCCGGGAGCAGCACGCAGAGCAGCGCATCTGCACGTCCTGCTGCAGCCCACTTCAGAGTGGGCCCACGGCGCTGTAATTAGGGATAAAAATACTTTGGCTTTTGTTTAACATCTCCTCGAGTTGAGCGTTTCTCCGATCAGATGTTAGGAACCTCATTGAGCCTCAGCAGCTCCACATCCGGAGCAATGGATGGAATCGGGCACTTTGCTGCGGCGCTGCCACCGCGGTGCTCCAGGTGTGCACCTGTCCTCGTGCTCCTCTGCAGCTCCTTCCCCTCATCCCAAGGATTTTCCTCAGGTTCACACTGCAGGTTCTCAGCACTAAGCAAGGCTGCGTCCCGCTCCTCTCCTCCCAGCAAAGCCCTTTGCCAAGGTCACAGTGCACATCTCACAGCCCGGCTGCGGAGACCTGAGCGTGGAACAGGGCTGGGGGCGGGCAAACAAGCACGAATTCGGGGCTCAGCTCTGGGCAACGCTGCTGTCAGAGCCAACCCAGCACTGCCGGGTGGGGGGAAAAGCATAGAAATAAGGGGAGGAAAAAGAAGAAATGCCTGAAATCCGGGGCTCGATGTGCCGCGCTCTCCTTCGCTTTGTTTTTGTTTTTCCAAACGGGGCTCCTGGAAACCCTGGCAATGTTTGAAGCGGCTGCCCCCTCCCCCCAACCTTTGTGAGGCTGCGGGAGCTCCATGCCAGCAGTGGGATTAGCCGGCTCGCTCTCTTCCATCTTACAGTTTTATTATTCTGCACCTTTTGAGGGTACGCTTTATCCTGAGTAATTAAAACACAGTTAGCTCTACAAGTCCCGACTATAATGGAATAGCTTAGGTTTTATTTTTTTTTTTTAATCTCTTTTTTTGTGTGCCCCGTTTTCCAGGAAGCCCGACACCAGAGCTGGCTTCATTAAAACAGGAAATTCCCTCAAAACGTGCGGCTGCAGAAGAGAAATTTTAGCAGAAATTGAGGGCAGAGCAGCCCTGCATGGGGCACAGCTCCATCCTAACAGCCCCCCCAGAAAGCAGCACAGCCTCCCTCCACCATGACGCCCCGCTGCACGCACACCAAAGGGCTCAGGGATGCCCAAGGATGCTCCCAGGCCTCAGAGCATCGCTCAGAGCTGCTTGGTACAGCATTCACAGTACAGCATTCACCCTGCCCCAGGCTCCCGGCAGCCTGCAGGATGGGTTTTGTTCTGCTGCTCTCTATGCACTGGCCCCATGACGGCGAAAGGCAAACACAGCACACAAGGCTATAATCCCATTTCTCTGAAGAATAATGCTCCGAGCGCTCAGCGCTGAGGACAAGCCCATATTACTCGCTGCGTGCTCTACAGTGAGAAAACACAAAACAAAATAAAAACAAACCCGGCGTGGAAGAAAGCAGCCTGAATTCAGCTTGAGGGCAGGCTGCTGGCACAGCCCTGTGCATGCACAGAGCCTGTCCCCGACCCCTGGCACTGCGGTGGGGACACAGCAGAGAGGTTTAGAGGGTCCTTCACTAGGCAAATATTTCTGATGGCGGAACAGCATCTCCACTGAGAGGAGTCATGGATGTGCTTGCTTCCATACAGCAATAAAATGGTATCAGCGGGACTCGAAGTGCTTTTCCCTGCTTGACTCCAGTGCACCAGGCAGGCCTGGCAGAGGAGTGGCTGTTAGTGCAGGAAGGTGGACAGCAGTCCTCCTGCGCTCCTTCCCACAGCTGTTCCCATTGAACATCTATGGGTATGATTTACGTGATGACGTTTGGAGGAAGGGACACAAGCATGCTGCACCGCATATTTCAAAAGGCTGGGACGAGGGGAAGGCGCCTCACACAGCCCAGAAGGTGACCCATGGCACCGGAGGACACGTGACACACTTGGAGGTGGCCACTGCCCTCGGGATGTCCCAGCGCCAGACTGTCTACCAACCAGCAAAGCCACAGAACCACCAGCTCACCAACCAGCTCCAACCCAGTGCAGAAGGACCGAGCAAAACCTCGTGGAGAGCGGAAAACCAAAGGACAGAGCGCTCCTTACCAGAATAGCCTCCCGAGGACTTGATGTACATCTGCCCGTACTGCTCCTCCACCATGGTGTCGTACGCCTCGTCGTCCTCCTCATCCTCCTCGTTGTGGTAGGACGTGGGGCTGTCGGTGGTGGGGATGCTGCTGGCGCCGGGGCTGGTGCGCTCCCCCTGCGAGTACTGCACCTGCTGCACGGTGGGCAGGAGGGAGGCCAGGTTGGGCACCCCATAGTAGGAGACACGCGACAGCTTCAGCGGGCCGGCAGCAGGGCCTGCTCCTGCAGGGCCATCACGTGCGCCCGGCTCCAGGGGCCGCTTGGCAGGCAGGCCCGGCACGGCGGCCGGCGGCAGCTCCAGGCTCTCGTGCTTGACCCGGGTGAGGAGCGGGATGGGCATGGAGGGGGACATGACGTAGGGCGCAGAGGCCGATTGCAGCTGGTTGCAGGGGCTCTGCGGCTCTGAGGAGGGGTCTTCGATCATGGCGGTCTGAGAGTCACAGTGGGGCGAGCTCACCTTGAACATCAAGTCTGTCCCCTTCTCCACGATGTGCTGGATCTGCAGGAAGCCCGCCGTGTACATCACCACCAGCTGCTCGCTGGCCGCCATGGTGAGCTTGCCGGTGTAGCAAAAGGAGAGGATCTGCTGGAAGCAAGCAGGGGGCACCGTCCCCGGCAGCTCAAAGGCATTTTTGCTGTTCCCGCTGAACAAGTCTCGGAAGTAGAGGCTGCTGGCAGCCAGCACGGCACGGTGTGCCTTGAAGGCCTGGCCCTTCACCACGATGGAGACATCGCAGTACAGCCCCAGCAGGCGCTGCTCGTTCAGGCAGCCCAGCACGGTGTTCCCAAAGTTGGGAATCTCTATGTGCAACATCTGCGACATGGCTCAGGATCCGCCGGAGCTCCTCAGGCATTCAATGCAGGGGTATCCAAAGTAGGGCACATCTGAAAAAGGGAGAAGGCAGGGAGAGAGAAACAGTGTTTTCAGACAGCTCGGAGGCACACGGTAACGCTGAAGGCTCCAAGCCGTGGTTGGAGCCAACGCAGCAAAGCAGTTCCTTATAAAATCGCTTATCGACGCTCTTAAGCAACGCTCATGGAGGACAGCGAGGGATGTTCCAAAACTCAAACATTTCCTTAAAGTTGCGGTCTGTTTAAATAAACCCCACTGATTTATTCCCCCGGGGGTTTACTTTATACAGCAAAATGTGAACCCATAATGGGAGAAGAGAGCACAGCAAAGCGCACAGAGAGCAGACAGACCTTGGGCAGCGTTATATAAGGAGCACCACCACCACCGCCGGCTACGCTGAAACTACAGAAAAGACATTTAGAAAGCAAAGTGCCATTTTGCCCGAGATAAAGGCGGCATTCCGTCAGTGCTCCCATCTCAAAGCACTTTCTAAAGCAACCTTCCCGTCTGCGCCAGAAAGAGGAAGCATTTCAACAGTTAAACCCTTTCTCAACAGAACGAGCCCCGAACAAAACACCGCTTATCTCACACACTGCGGCACGCTGGGTGCTGCCGGGGCGCAGACCCCACAGCACAGCCCAGGGCGGGGGGCCCGGCCCGGCCCAGGGCAGCCCCCACCTGCAGTACCTCGGGGCTGCCCACATCCTCAATAAATGTGATGGCAGCGTGGAGCCGGTGCGCAAAGCTGAGATGGTCAGCATCAGTGCCTCCTGTGCACCACAACTAAGGCAAAGCAAAGCACTGCGCATTCAGCAGCTCACAGCCAGAGCCCAGGACCCCCCCACACCCCCAGGGCTCCATGCAGCAGTCCGGCAGATCAAAAACAACTGAAAATCCCAATTGCCACCGATGCTGCTGAGTACAGACTGTGGTTAAGGAGGACTGAAAGCTCCGGAGAACATCACTTTAAAAAACAAAACAACAAAAAAACCAAACTGAAGTTAATCTGAGAAAGACTGGGGAAAAAAAAAAAAAAAAAAAATCTGCTCCGAAAAGAAAATAACCCACAAAGAGCTGCTCTGTTCCCAGTGCTGGGGGGGAAAAAAAAAACAACAACCCAACAAAAGTCCTATCCGCAAGGCCACGGGGTAACAGGAAGAAAAGGGAACGCTCGGAGCCAATTTCATTCTATCGGCACGGTTCAATAAAAGCCTTCCGAGCGAGGAAGTTGGCGGCCCCCCCGCCAGCAGGGCACGTACCTTCCAGCCGTGTCCGGGGGTCCCCTGCCCTCCTCTCACCCCACACTGTGTGGGGACGCCGAGCGCTCGGGGGAGGAAAGCAGCGCGGAGCCCTTTGCTTCTATCTGCTGGAGCTCAAGCTCTTACCAAGTCAAATCTCCACGGCAGTGCATAGCATCTAAATGAATAGGCCGGATGCAGATTAACATTCAGGCTGCTCTCTGCGATGAATAGAGCCCTTTGATTAGGGACCTGAAGTAAATGCCAGTTTCAAACCGAAGCTTTAAAAACAGAGAAATATCAGTGCCAGAGGAATGCTCTCAGTGTTGGTACAAGACAGACTTTTGATGAGTCACTGCAATGCAAACAAAGATGGCAGAAATACTGTACTGTATGCTGATGAAATGCTTAGTGGTGCCACGGCAACTGAGACAGGTTTTAAATTTATAGTGCAGTTTTGCATATGAATTACGCTGTAAACTGCCTCCCCTGCCATCTAGTACATCCAGAGTGTCAAAGCATTTAAACTATTCCAAACAGTCTGCAGCGCTGGCACTGCTGCTGGTGACTCCTCGAGCTGGGGAAGGGGCGGTGAGCCCAGCATCCCACAGCCAGCATTCCCACACTGAGCCCCGCATTGATCTCAGCATCCCCACACTGCACCCAGCACCTGCATCCCTATATCCTGTACCCCAGCATCCCCACACCGATCCCCAGCACCCTACCATCCCCACACTGAGCCCCCAGCATCCCACATCCCAGTATCTCCACTCCGAGCCCCAGCACCCCACACCCCAGCATCCCTACACCGAGCCCCAGCATCCTGCAGCCCAATACCCCACACGGCAGCACCCCGAGTCCATTTATCCCACACCGGGTCCCAGCAGCTCTGCACCCCACACCACCCCAGTGCCACCACCCCGAAGGGACAGCCCGGGTCAGTGTGAAATAAAGGTGCTCTATGGGCAGCCACAGGCATGATCCACCTCCCTCTCACCCCCCCCCCCCTCCCATAACATACAAGAAAGCCTTTCAAATGCAGGAAAAATGTTTACCCCTTGGGGAAAGCTTCTTTCAGTCTGTGGCTGAATCCACTAAAAGCAAATCCATTTGCTTAAGTAATGAAATCCTAGTCACATTGTCTCCTGGATTCAGATTTTAAATTACCTTCGCGTTTATTGAGCATGTTTGGTGCTATTTTCTGGGAAAGAGGGTGGGGCCTTACTTTGCTTACTTATCTCTCTACCCAGAGCGTTTTTATTCCAATTACTGCCCTAGGATTTGTTTCCATGGCCCTGCTCAGACGGTCGCAGGCAGGGAAAAATTAGGAGATTAAAGGCCATGGCACTCTTAGACAAGGATGGGATGGGGAGAATGGACACGGGCTGCAGAGCTCGCGCTCAACCCCTCCCCATTTTTGCACACATGACTCCACACCTCCTGCCCTGGTGCCTATTTGGTGCATTAAGTTCTGCCCCAGTGACTGCGTGGGGCATTAAGTTCTGCTCTGTAGAACGGCAGCGAGCTGCTGCTGCGCACCCAGCTGTCCTCACCGCACTCAGAGCACAGAGCTGTGGGTACCAGTGTGCCCTCAGCACCAGGAGGCACCGATGGGGTTCCCATGTGCCACACAGCGGGGTCAGAACTGGTCGAATAGACAGGAATTGTTCACATTGCTTAGAATTTGCTCTGCAAACAACCACGTCTCAAAAAGTCACCAAAACCGAGCCGGTTTCTGGATACGCTACCCAGGATTGCAGGCAAATCCCAGTGAGCTTTTGAAAGCCCAAATGACTCTGAGAGGAGCCCAGCGCTGTTTTTTTGTTCCCTTCTCTTTTCCATCGCCTCCCTATGGCAGGACTATTGGTAGCCAAATAAATAGGGCCAAGGCAGTCCTAAAGAACAAGCAGAATCTGTTCCCATTGCACCTCCCATCCCTACAACCAACAGCCACAAGTCAGCACCATGACCAGACCACGGATGCAACACGAGTGATAATGTCTAACTTCAAAAACTCCTCTTTTCTTTTTCTTCCTCCTTTTTTGGGGGGGCAAAACAGCACCAAACTGACTGGGAGCACCACTCCCACCAAACAACAAGCGAGTGGCTCCTTGCCAACACGAAACCTTGGGCAAAACCCGATTCCATCCGAACACCCCGTAAGTGTTTAAGAATCATGCGAGGTACGCGACAACCAAAGTAAGACATCGCTTTGTTTTCCAATGGAAGCCTCTTATCTGAGCTCTGATACAGGCCAGGAGGAACGGTGCATCTCTGCATGGTCCCGAGAAGTCACAGCCTTTGTCACAAGGAGCTCATCAACATTTCAGTGCAGTGCTGTGAGCTCTCAGGTTCTGTGCAGGATCGCTCGGCCCTGAAGAATTTCTCTTCTCGGAGGCCTGAGAGGTCGGGGTGAACCAATGGCAAAGAGAAAGGCATCGATCCGGAATACGATGCTGGCATCAGAGCTCCCATGGGAGTAATCAGAAATAATTAGATAATTCATTTAAATCATCTTTTCCTTAGCCAGCCTACAATGAGATCTGGAGATTTCATCACCACCACCAACAGAAAAAGCTCAAAGAGCATAAAAAAGGCAGAAGAGCCCTACAAAGGGTCCCTGCCCTATGTCCCCATAGGCCACAGAGCACTCGTGGCACAACAGAGTGGTGAAGCTGTGTCCCTGGGAGCCCGGCAGTAACAGGAACCCCTCTTTTCTTCTGCAGAGGTTAAGAGGGAGGGAAAATAAAATAAAATTAAAAAAAAAGTAATGTAAAGAATATGCCATCCTTGGGCTTCAGGCTGCGGGGCTGGAGCTGGGAGGTGCTGTAGCACCAGGATTCCCCATGGGGATGCTCAGCGCCAGCCTGGCTGCAGCTGCAGGGCTGGGGCCGCATCCCCCCTTGTAACGACAGGATGGGAAGGGAACGGGTCACACAAAGTGCCTGCGCCGGGCAGGGGCTGCCAGCCGAGGGCCGGGTGGGGAGCAGCTGTGCTGCAGCACCGCAATCACAGCCCTGCAGTGAGAGCAGCGAGCGGGGAGCAGCGCCGAGCCCCGCAGCAGTGAGAGCCTGCCGGCTTAGCGAGGCAAAACGCACAGCTGGGCGAGGAGCACCGTGCACAGAGCAGGCTGCTGGAAGGCAGCAGGGGAAGCAGAGCAGTGCTGGTGGCAGCGGCGGCACACAGCTCCCAATGCCCGCAGCTCCGCGCTGCTGCAAGGTGAGTGGCAGCGCCGGGTCACCCCTCCGGGCAGCTCCCACCTCGCCGTGCCACCGCCGGCACCGTCCACTCCTTCGTTGTTTGTTTTCCTTTTTTTTCCCATCGCTGCTTTAAAGTGCTCTCAAGCAAGGACATGCAAGAATAGAAAAAGCAACAAGGAATTATTCTTTTTTTTCTTCTTTCTTTTTGCAGCTCGCTACAGGGAAAGGGGTAAAGGAAAGGCAGGGATGGGAAATCAAACTATCCTGCAGAATTCGGGGCTGTTCCAACCTAACAAAGCAGCTGGGTGACCCCGAGGAGCAGCAGAAAGCACCCGGAGCCCCTCCGCCTCTGCTGCAGCACGCGCCTCCTGCATCCATCCCAAGGCAGCCCGCAGTAACGCAGCAGAAAGCCAAGTGTCATGCTGAATTGCATTCTCCTCGCACACAACAGCCGAGCGGCAGCACCTAACATGCATGGCTCAGCCCTGCCGCCACGCCACGCCGGAATGGAGAGCCTTAAAATAAGGTAAATATCTTAAAAGGTCAATTAGAAGAGCTTACAGCACAGCAGCGCCGCTCCTTGCGAGAGCTCATTACCTAGTATGGTGGAGCTGCTGCCTGCTGGGTTTTTTTTTCTTCTTGTGCAAGTTAGTCTGTGAGTCAGCAGTAACACACATGAGGACATCAGGAATACTGCCGAGTTCTGATGCAATGGAGGTTGTAAAAAAAAAAAAAAGAAAAGTCGTGCTCCGTTTGGACAGGAGCCGATAATTCCATTGCCTTACTTTTCAATTACTGCACAGCCTACCGCCACCAAACTGCAGAGGGGAGGGAAACTTTGCTTCCATTTCTGCCTCCGATTAATGACTTTCGCCTGCAGATTTGTCTCCTTGCTTTAAAAAGGAAAAGCAGTCGGGATGATGTCATTAACCCTTTGAGGGCAGTGCGTCTCTGCAGCTCCGGAGCTTCTGGAGGAATTTTAGCATCAGGGAACGACGCTGCCAAAAAGTTCTGGCGAAGGAAAATGTTTCTACATTAAACTTTTAGTGCTCTCTAAAGTGAAGCTACAATTGCATCTGAGCTTGATCCTTAATGGAAAGATCAGCTTGCAGATAAGGAAGGTGCACTCTGCGGGGCTGGAGGTGCCTGAAGGGCGGTCCCAGCCCCTCGCCCCACTGCAGTCCCACAGCACTGCGTGCACCCACAGCCCCTGAGCAGACACATGAAGTTTGCACAGCGGAGCCAATGCCAGCCTTCCATAGAATCACAGAGGTCAGAAAATCCCCCACGGACCCCCAAGCCCACTCCCAACCCACCACACCACCCCCGGTCAGCCTATGCAGTGCTGACCATTCCTTCTGAGGAGCACTGCTCCCTGACAGCCAACCGACCCTCCCCTGGCACACCACGGGCCATCACCTCTCATCCCATCGCTGTCACCTGGGAGCAGAGGCCGGCCCCAACTCACCACGACCTCCTTCCAGGAGCTGTAGGATAGATGAGGTCTCCCCTGAAGCCCATCTCCTCCACACTGACTCAGCCCAGATCCTTCAGCCGCTCCCCACAGCGCTGTGCTCCGACCCATCGCAGCCCCTGCCCACCTCTGGACACATTTGGAGCCCCAGTGTGTTTCTTGCAGTGAGGGGCCCAGCACTGAACACAGCACTGCAGGTGCACAGCAACGATCACCTCCTGCTGTCTGCACTTCTTCTGACACCAGTCAGGATGCTGCTGGCTCCTCGGCCACCCTGGCACACTGCTGGCTCATGTTCATGTGATGCTGCAGATGGAACTGAGCCTAATGCCAACGAGCACACGTCAGCCCACCAACAGGACGTACAATTAACGATTACGGATAAATAATCCAGCCGATCACAAGTCGATTCCAAATCCCTATTTGGTTTATTGGTTGTTTTTTCTACCTGTGGCCACAAGCACCAACAAATCCTTCTTTTCTTTGACGCACAAGCATAAAGCTATCTGTGGCTGTTACAGGAGGAGGATCCCCGGCCCCACAGGCCAGCAGCCTCACATGCTGAGCCCAGCGCTGTGCTGGGCAGTGCGGGACGCTGCATACAGATGAACTGAGTTTTAAAGGACAAAAAGCCCTGGCAGCAGCTCCTGGGCCAAATTCTCACGTGCCAAACTTCCCAACTGCTGCAGCGCAGCTCGACGGCATTTCAAAAGAATTCCTGCTCTGTTTTGAATACTGCTGACAATCTTCTCTGTCAAAATTTGTAATTTAAATCCCTCGGAGGCGAGAAGCACACTGCTCCTCGGGGCATTCCCTGCTCCCCATATACAACACACTGCATCCCACAGCCCATCCCCTGCACCCCCAGTGCGTCCTGCTGCACACGCAGCCCCATTTGAAGCCACACAGCCCCACTGCCCAGCCCCACACCGCCCAGAATGCAAGACCGCTCTCCACGCGACTTCAGATGTGTCAACAAACCCAAAATAATGCTATGTAAATAGGTCTAAGCAGTGAGAACAGC